ACAATTATTTTACGACCACCGCAATTTAGAGAATTCGCCACTCCTTGAGATTTAGCCGAATCAGAAATACGATTAGAATTTTCGAAGAATTTGCAAGAGGCGTCGACGAATACAAGGGACACTGGAACAAGTCCAAAAATTACTAAGAAGCAGAATAAGTTTTTGAGAATTTGCGAGTGACCTGCCATATGAGATGGTTGGCTGGAAGCAGAGTTACATTTATTTGAAGTCTATATAACTAGTAAATCCTATTAAATCCCGAGTACGTTTGTATATTTATTACCGTCGATCCTTTAAAGCTGGGGGTACACATTAAGTGTATTGAGACGACATTAGGAGTAAGTATAGATTTATTCCGACAGTCACGGCCAAGAATCGGAATGGCTTTCCGGAGATCGGTCAGACTGATACCACCGCCGCCGCCGGAGGTCTAACCCTCAATTATATAGGAGATCAGTTCAGTGTAGTGCTCGTTAGGCTTGGAATCGGTATGAACGCGAGTTTATCGGTATAATTGAATACAAAATCATCATCGTGAGGATAACACATTGTCCGTTCGGCAGCTATTTAACCGTTGGCTGAACGACAGAATGAACGGAGGTCACATTTTTTTTTCCGCCTCGTTGTTACAAAATAAATGCCCGTCTTGAAATGCGTAGTAGTATACATACCTATTGTCGTAAAAAAAGAAAAAGAAAAATCGTTTCTGAATCGTAACGGGCAGTAATAATAACGTCCTGAAAAATAGTCTCCAGATGAAACGCAACGAATTCAAAAGCAAAATTGTATTATTATGATCGAATCCACTATATATTCAAAGGAGGAGGGGGGGGGGAGAAATGTTAACGCCTAAAAACGTGTTCGGTACGGAAATAGAGTGTTGTTATATGGCGATATATTATGAATAATATTGATGTTTTAAATTTTTAAAAAAAAAAAAATAATAAAGAATACGCCTCTGGCCGTAAATTTGTATTTAAATAAAAAAAAACTGCAAGACTTGTTTCTTTTTCTCCGGTTGTGTTGGTGTTATTGAAAATCCGAAAGAAATAACACGGCTACACACTATTAAAAATCAAAGTTTATTACACGAGAATTAAAAACAATTTGCCAAAAGCGATTACGTTATGACTTGAAACAAATAAAAACGTTCTTTTTTCTTTTTTTTCTGTTTTTTTTTTTTTTTTTTTTTTTTTTTTCATAATGGATTATATTTTAATAGAATGCAACGTCTTAACACCAAAACAATTTTTTTTTTCTTTATTTTTGTTTTTTGTTTTTTGTTTTTTGTTTTTTTTTTTTGCACTTTTTAGAACGTATTATAGTAGCAATTTCAACGCTAATAAGGCGAAATGTAAGTTCCGCCATACAACTTTTATAACGGCATTAGGCGCCGCCCGGTGTATACGGAGAAATTTTGTGAAAATACATTAAATTTATATCCGCAAGACAAATAACGATTATAATATTATGATCGAAAAACCCTCGGAACGCTCTTCCCTCGAACAATGTACGAAAAATGCGAGGAGTCGAAAACCTTTTAACGGTTTGGTTTATATTATTAGCACGGAATATCCGTTCGATTAAATCGGAGTCGTTTTCGACATTTTACACGGGACGGCGAAAACTAAATTGCATTCGACACGAATAATATTCCGCTAAGACGCACTACCTGTATATTATATTATAATTTATAATATTACACAATAAATAAATACATAAATAAATATATATACAGGTATACCTGGGTTTTTTTTTTTTTTCGCGCGCACTGTATTTTGCTACACCTCAATTAACGGAGAGAAAAGTTGTGGAAATCCGCTTAAATTGTGTTAACAACCCTCGTTTTATAAGGTAGAAAAAATAAAAAACACCAACGTCACAAATAATTACAACATTATATAGTGTCGCACTATAATACGAATTTCCGATGACATTATGCCATCGACAACGTGCGTTTATCGCAGACGGACGATTATAATTGTGTGGCTTGGAACAACGACCGGTTGAATCCGCATTTTTTTTTTCGAAAATCCACGTTTCGACGAATGGGCAGCATAAAATTACACATATTCAGGCGAATCCGATAGATATTATAAATTTCCTAAAGGGATTTAATTTAGCTTGTTTTAATTTTCGGTGCAACAACCTGCAGATAAATCCGTATTTACGAGGTTGTTACTCCAATACGGTCACACAGTGTTTACCATATGGTTTTCATATCAGCTAGTATTATTATTTACTAAAAAATATTGCGTTATCGTCAACTTCAATATTAACCCTTTTTATTTACGGTTTATTTTATTACCTATGTGGCTATGTGTTTTATCAGGCGTATCCAATATTTTGTGAAGACCGGGCCATATCATGCAAGTAAAAAGTTGTTGTGGGCCACATACATTTCAATAATGATATATTCTAATTATAATTTTACCATAGCGAATAATATGCCCATCGGTAGAAATATTTTGACGAGCTATTACATTTTGTTTATAATTATAACTACCAAATAAATTTGTTTATGATTAAAATAAAACAATTTTATTGTTACTTTAGTAAAATTAGTTTCTTTATCGCTATTGGATCCCAACAAAGATAAAACTTTCATATAATAAAATATATTATTAAGTAATATTTAAAAGTTTTTTTAATTTTTTAAATTCTCTTGTTTTATGGTCCTAAAATAAATTCGTTCTCGTAGTATTATATATAGTTAATTGATGATTTAAAATTTAAATGAAGGCCATTATAAAATCTACCGTGGGCCGCACGCGGCGCGTGGGCAGTGAGTTGTACATCACTGCGTTGTATAATACTAGCTGTCCCAGCAATGCTTTGTTATTGTTAGATTTTATCATTATTACTATTACCCGATTATTATTAGTTTTCGGGTCTTTTATACATACTGCAATACGCCCCTACAAACTAATAAAGTTCTAAAGTAAAAAAGACGTCCTATGATAAAGGGGACGGGTGCAGCCGCTCTTATATATAATTTAATGTATACATGTAAGCAACAATAAACTATTGTTTACGAAAAAACGATTTTGAGCGGAGTTCAGTTGATAGTAATACTTTTTCAACAATATATATATATATATATATATATATTTATATTGTATTTTATAGTAAATTAATTAAATAGACTTTATATATTTTCTTTAATAATATTTGTTTCATGCTGTACCGATTTTCCCGGATTTCCTATGTTTTTCTCGGTTTTTCACATTTTCTGGGAAGACTCTAGGAAAATCAAAATATAACCCTTCTAAAGTACCTCCCTAGTAAAATTTCCTTTTAAAAACATTGCTATGATTATAAGTTGGAGCAAGATTGCTGATAGAAATGTTGTGCGCAGAAAAAAAGAAGGCCATAATATATTTTAACTATTACTTACATTTCTTATATTTTTCCTTTTTTTTCGATTTTTCTAATTTGATGAGAAAACTCCTGAGAAAATCGAAATTTCACCTCTTCAAAGTACCTCCCTACGCCGATTTCCTTTTAGAAAAAATAGCACACGTAGAATTCCAAGCAAATCTTTTTGTAAAAAAGTTGCGTACAGATAAAAAAAGAAAAACATCTTTGTAAAACTATAAGCTCCTCGATCCACTCAAAATCTAAAACTAAATTTTCTTTTTCTTTTAAAGTTAAAGTTTGCTATGTATTTTGTACAGTTTTATCGTCAACATATCAATAAAAAAGCTTATTGGGTACACCAGTTATCAAACTGAATACTGCCAATTTAATACAAAAAACTACTATTTTTTTTTATATATTTTTTGATTTCAACTCATATTTAAGGTTCCAAAATGCAAAGCCACAATAAAAGTAGAGTCTATAAATATGATGTAAGAAATCTAGAAAGTTGTTTGAGTTAAAAATAATATTTAAGTGTGTCAAAAACGAACAAACATTTGAGTGTACAAAAAAAAAAAATAACAAAAGTTACCAGTAAGAAACCAAATAAATTCATGCCAACTCAACTTTGATTAAAAATTATTAAAAAATATTATAAACAGAATAAAAACAGAATCGTATTTATTATTTTCAATCATTATTCATAAGATTAAAAGATATTAAAAAATGTTTTAAAATGTTTTTATTCATCCCGAATAAGTTAAAAAAGTGGATTTATCTAGTTGTTGTTCCAAGCCCTTCAATTAAGATGGTTGCGTACGGGGCTCCCGAATTCGTATACACACGGGGAATCAGCGGCGCCAGGTTTTGAAAATGTCACGAGAAGTTCACTATTTTATTAACACGTCATGCACAGTTTTACCTAAATCTTACGATAAATTAACCATTTTTATTTTCCTTAAATTATTGTTCGTTAAAAAATAAACAATAATAATAAAATATAGTTAATTATTGTTTAGTAAGCTATAACATTTTAACACTATTAGCATCGAGAAAAATTACAAGATAAAAATTAAGAAATGCCAGACACCACTAGACATCAGTCAATCAAGAACTTGCAGATTTATTATCAAAATCTACACTCAAAAAAAAAAAAAACCTTTATCTTTCACAATTAATTTAATAAAATTAGTATTTCGAGGATGTACGTGGCATATATACTGATTTTTTTTTAAAACATAACATGAGAACCGCGAGGGCCTGAGCTCCGTCTTTTTCAAGCTCGCGGGGAGCTGCAGCCTCAGAGCCCCCCCTTGTACACGGCGCCCCTGCGGGAAACAGTAAGTTCCTACACGAGAATGGCGGGTAAACGATATTACATACGTTAGTTCCTACAATTAATGTGATGCGTTAATATTTCTACACGAATGTAAAAATGAGACGTGTAAGTACCTGTAAGGTGAAAAAAAAAAAAAAGTTGTGTTTGTTAGTTCCTACACGGCGGAAAAATTATACATATATGTGAGTTCTTAAACGGTTATATTGAAATTATTATTTATTTTTGCATCATTATAAACGGTTTGAGTACATTCAATATAATATGAAATATAGTTTAATAGTAAATATATAAACACTTAATCCATAGTGTGTAGCGTAAGTATACGTCACTTACTGACATTTGAACTTTTTTTTTTTTTTACCGTTTAAAAACTTACATATTATATAATTTTTCCGCCATGCAGAAACGAACATACGCAGCTTTTTTTTACCATGCAGGAACAGACTTACACAGCTCATTTTTATATTCGTGTAGGAACTGACATACGCACATTTTTCTTTCATCCGCTAAGTCTCGTGTAGGAACTTACATTCGCCCGTATACACAACTGTTAGAGTTTCGATAGTGCGGCGGAGAGCGCGCAAACAATAATACCGTATCCGTACTGTTTCCATACAGAGTGGATTTTTTTTATTTTTTTTTATCATGAACCAGCAATTTCTCCGGGGATTTTAAGTGAATTTGTTTTTTTGTGCCTGTGTGTGTGTGTTTTTTTAATAATTACGTAATCGTATAAGCTTTATTTTAAAACCGTTTTTATTTTTTCTCCCCTACTACATACACCTATGTCTATTAAGTATATACTTTTGTTTTTCAAATAATATGGGGTCCCCTTTCCATTTTTGAACGCAGATTTGAATAGAGCAAATTTTTACCTTTATAAGTTATAACCGTTAGAAGTTTATACCGGACAGTATAGCAAAGATTTATCAATTTATCAAGAGTTAAAAATATATACTACGCAATTCATTACCCTTCCCAAATCCTCTGGTCTAAAATTCAAACAGTTATAACTGATAAACTGTCAATCTGAGATTAGTGTTAATCCGTGTCCAAAAAGGGATTCGTATTAGGAAAAACAAAAGTGTGTACTTATTTAAGTTATATAGAGATGAGGGGTAAAAAAATTAAAAATGAGTTTAAAATAGACCTTAAACAATTTTGGAATGATTATAAAAAAAATATATATATATATAGGAAATAAATTCGCTTAAAATCCTCCCATAAAATTGCTAGTTCCTCGTAAAAAAAATTAAAAGTTTCATTCAAATATACGGTATTTAAAAGTTCAAAAATAGCTATCCTATATTAGTTTTATTTATGCGGTCTAAATACCCGTTCCACAAAAATTGAAAAAATAATAATAATAATAATAATAATAAAACAAAATAAAATCAAAAAATTGAAATTTATAATTATTCGTAGAAAATTACATTTTTCAAATTATCGGGTAGTTTTGAAGCGTGATTTATCAAAAATGTTAAAAATCTAATTTTCTACCAGCTAAATAATCGTGCGGTTTTTTTACTAAATACATTATATTTTTGTTTTGAGAAAATTTGCGGGAATCCTTTTTTTACCCGGCCGAACATAATATTATCACGAGAAGAGTAAAAAAAAAGTATAAAAATGAAAATCTCGGTCCGCCATGATGTACCTATGTAGTATTACATTATTATCGAAAAAAAAGGATACGGACATACTTTGCACGACAGGTGGGCGACCGCTCACTTACTGTTGTAGGTGAGAAGTTGGAAAGGTAGAGGGGAAATTTAATTTATACCCTTACGCAACGATTAACCGTTGCTAATGAAAAAACAATTCTGAACGGAGTTCGGATAAAAATGTCGCTTTGTCAATAATACATATAATAAGTATATGATGATAAACAATAATTAAATATGAGTTATATTTATTATTTTTTTTTTTTTAATAATATTTGTTCAATATTTTACTTATTTTCCTGTTTTTCCCACGTTTGTTCCCGGGTTTTCCTATTTACCGTGAAAACGGCTGGGAAAATCGAAGGACGACCTGTGCATAGTGCCGGCCCCAGTCGGGTCTCCTTTCGGAAAAACTGCAAACGTTGTAAATCGGAACGGAATTGCCGGTAGAAAAGTTGTTCACGGATAAAGAATTTTTTAAATAATAATAATAATGACAAAAGGAATTATCACGAGCGTATACACTGTTGTACAATCATATTATTATTATTATAACGATCGATGATGGTTATTAATTTGGCGAATCGAGCGAATCGGGCCTATGTAAAAAAAAAAAAAAAAATGGAACGCAGTTTGAAAACGAGAAGCCAAGAAACGCGCGACGGCGGCCTGCTTGTGTCACGAATTAATCAGGAAGGAGTACAACCGTTGCCAAAATAAATCTTCAGGCATTCACACGCTGAGTCAGCGCCGTCGGCCGGAGACGACTCGAGTGTATGCGCTTGACCGAGATTCGCGCACAGAGCTTACCGTACCGGCTGGGTTTTTATTATTATTATTATTATTTTTTTTTTTTTTTTTAAACTATTATTATTACGATTTATATTAGGCGCACATAATGCGGAAAAAATAAATGTTTGTTTGAATAACAAATACCGCCCGCGGCCGCTCGGGACGTAATATCATTTCGGTCGAAAATATTACGATTTCCGGCGGTTTTAAATCGTTCGTTTTTCCGCGCGACCCCGGAAAGGGATTTTTTTTCGTCAAACAAACAGTTTACGACTATTGTATCGGTCGTAATGGGCAATATTAAATTTCAAAAAAATCCATTACGACCGATTTATGTGTATACATGTGTATATGTATAATTTCGGTGCCTATAATTATTTTTAATGATGTTTCGGTTTTTTTTTTTTTTTTTAGCTATCATATCGTAGAGTTATGCGGTCTACCGCGAAAAGCCATTTGGGTGATGAAACATTTCGTGCACGCGACACAAATACATTTGTACATTGTATTTTGTTTAATATCGTTTTGTCAGAGCTGCGCAGAATCGGACCGAATGCGTTGATACGAATAAAAAATCAATCAAGGGGGTTTCGGTCGTGATTTCATTAAATTTAATCCAAGCGACCTTTGTAGAAAAAATAAACCCATTAATATCAAATCAATAATTAGATTTGAAAAATCTATTTAATATTTTTAATATTTTTTTTTTAGATTCTCGGCGAAGCGAACAATGTGTGTATTTTTGTTTTTTTTTTTTTTGTCTATTTTTCTACCGGAAATCTTAATCCGATCGTCAATTTTAGAGGTGGTTACTGATGACGATTTTTTTCTTTTAAATCGGTGCATTGAGAGGTAATTTTGCGATTTACCTTTTGAAGTTTTCTTAACAGTCTGGAAAACGTCTGAAAACGAAATTGTTTACGCAGAAACTGTTTCTGTTGTTTTCGATTTTGTGACCCGTTTAAATGCGATTAAAAATACCCGTAAAGATCCGAAATAATTACCGTATGTTAGCGCTTTTTTAGAGGCGGTGCAGTATTCAAAACGTTCTGGCGATTTTCGAACAGCTATTGTAGCCATTTGAAACTGTCGAGTCTTATTAGATTTTTGTTTTCAATAAGCGGTTTAATTTAAACATTTTATGAAAATCATAAAAAAAAAAATAAATACCCGGGCATTTCAAACCACGGTCAATCACCGATCTTCGCTCACGGCCGTTTTTCGTTAGCAACGATTTTTATCGTTGCGTACAGATATAAATTAAAAATCACCCGAAAATATGTATCCTACTTTCACAGTTTCCGCCTGCACCACAACAGTGGCACATCCGTCGGTTTCGGTATCGGTAAATCGTGTTACCTAGCCGGTTGGCGCCACACCGGATAAATACAAACGAATCGTTTCGGTTAGGCAACGCGTATAAATTGTTCGCAAACTAGAATAAAACCGCGGGTCGAAAAACAAAAAAAAAAAAAAAATGGAAATTAAAAATAACGGACGTGAATAGACCGAGTATGAATTCCGAGTGTGCGGTTTTGAAAAACAAAAGAAAAACGTGTTAATTTATAAAAATTACGGCCCTATAATTGGACGTAAACTGCGGTAATACGAACGTTGAACAAAAACAGCGTTTGTTTCGCGTGTAATAAATTATTAAACAAATAGGCGAATTAAATTATTTTTTTACGAGACCGCTAGCCTGGTGTACGCTACACTATCGCGAAAACGTTACGTCACGTCATGCCCTCTGGAGCTGCAGCGGCAGCTTTCTGCGTCCGCGCTAATCTCTTCGTCTGTCTTTCATCCGGAAAAAAAAAAAAAAAAAAAAAAAAAAAAAAACAACAACAACAACGACAACGACAACAAACGGTTTATAGTCATTATTTTATTGTTACGCAAACGCGGTTCGGCTCCATTGTTTCCGCGGCATTCGGTGAACAGAACGCGGCGACAATTCTCGTTTATGCTGTTTCGAAAGCCCGCATTATAAACGGCTCTATTATCATCTCATCGCGCCAACCCCGTGCGCCCTGTGCGGTATTATTTATTTTTTTCGCCGAACGGCCCACGGACAATATTCCGCATAATGCGTAAACACCGAACAACAATAATAACATTAAAAACGAAAAGGAAAAAACAAAAAAAAATTACGAAAAACGCCGTTCGCTGCGGTGGTTTTTCACCGGAATCCCACAAAACTAAAATAATACTCTCGCGCGTGGACAGGTATTGTGTACGTGCAATACCCACCCGCGCCATCTAATCAGCGTCAAACCGAAATTACCAGGTGCGCTCTTTAAATCCTAAACCTAACGACAGTGCGTCGCGTACGTACTCGTAAGTAGATTTATTTACCGCTAGTGATAATATACGCGGTGAGACACGGACGGAGATTTACACTAGAAGACTGGAAACGAGCGCCGAAAACCTGGTTAAAAAAAGCATCGGAGACAGCGTTGAGACTTATCCAGGTATAATGTTAATTTTTTTTTTTTTTTTTAATATTTTATTGTACTTAAACGGAAATTTCGACATCTGAGATTGGTATCTATCTGCAAAGAGCTGTTTAAGATAAAATGCAATTATCTAGATACGAATATACCTAAACAAAATTGTTCTCACTGCAGAAACTCATACTTTCAGTTAAAAATTCAAAATTACTATAGCTATATAGCTATACACGTCCCTTGTGTTTACAAAATTATTTTTTTCTGTTTAAATGTGCATCCCCTACTGTAAAATTGTCTACAATCAACAATATTAAAAAAAAAAATTATTAATTTTTTTTCTAGTTAAACTAAAGTTATTTATTTTAATTAAATTTATCTATTACATCATCTGAGATCTTTTAGATGATAGTTATCTTTATTTTTATCTAGATAATTTGAACAATTAACTTTTATCTTTATATCTATAGATAAATTGTGTTTCATTTATGATCCCCAGCGTCGTTTGAGCAGATACTCACGGAGCTAGTTACCCGCTAAGATTGATATGAGAGGCAAAAAAAAACTCGCGTTTCAATTTCTAACCTACAGACCTTTTTTGTAACCTGCAGTTCCCCACGCCCCTCTTAGCCGTCGTTTTCAGTCCTGTATAATATTATCTCGGTCGGCGCGAAACGGTGTTATTAATAGAGGTCATTGCGAAATGGAAACCACTATATATAGGTTTTTTTTTTTTGGGGGGGGGCTACTCTCAAATACAGAACACTTGCCTCCCATCCCCTCGTTTTTATATACATATAAACATAAATGAAATAACGAGAAAAACAACAAATAAATATCGATATTTTTTAGTGAGACGACAGACATAAGTTATAATTGTTATTGCTGCTGCAGTTTGAGCTACACCTATCTCGATAATAATATACTGTATTTTCGGTAAAAAATATTTTTATTATATTATAATACTTGGTTTACCTACCTTCGGCAGCGGACGAGGGTTTTCCGGCGGTTTTTTACCGAAAAAACCGAAAATCTGACCAGATCACAGGTAAGCGGGAAAAATTAAAAATACAATTAAAACAAACTCACATTAATTATTATACATCAATATATTGTCATTATAATATTTTTTTTTTTTTGTTTTCAAATCGTGAACTCGATAGGAACCGTGCGTTTTCTTTTAAATATATATATATATATATTATTGTTACCGCAACCTCGGCAACATTCGCTACAGGGGTCGTCCGGAACGATGATTGTCTACACTAATCCGCTCGATTCGGTTTCCCGGACATTTCCCGGCCACTGCATACAGGAGGCACGAGGATACGGAGACCGGTAAACCGCGGGAAACGCGTTGGCAACATATCGGATTCCGGCATGAGAAGCTGTCTCGACCAGTCTTGTTATGTATTCGAACGCTTCAGTTAAAATACTTTAGAAATACGTATCGACCAATGTGTTTAGTGTACTTAAATAATAAAAAATATATCTATTTTTTCTCAGTTATCGAATTTTTATTCCAGAATTCAAACAGTTTTTTGCTCGCGTTACACGATATTTTCGTATTTCGACGATTTTAAATTTCAATCGTCTCCGAAATAATGTTTTATAATGGTTCTAGGAATTTCCGATGGGATTTTCGTCAAAATGTATTATTATAATTCATAACAACTCATTATAATCTGCTTAGACAAAGTAAACGTAATAAGCTCATTTGCAGGCATAATTACAAATAGCGCAACATCCGAAATTCTTGAACCCGTTGAAATGAAAATGTCCGTAAACGAGTTTAAATGTATTTGTTTGTAATTCGCTGAACGCAGGTGGTTTTGGTCAAAGCGCGTCGAATGTATTGACGAACAAAACACATCGTTTGAATTGATGTATTTCGAATATTTTTAACGAGTGTTTTTTTTTTTCTATTATTATTATTTTTTTTTATTTTTATTTAAGTACTGTATTGATTCGAATGCGAGTAATTCGTTAACGCGCACTCAGAATACACTTGCAAATTGGTTTCAACAAGACTGGTCCCGACCCAATAGAAACGTCAACGTGACATTTTAGGGAATATTTCGATTTTTTTTTTTTTTTTAAATTTTTTAGTTTAATTATCTACATTGATTTTATTGGCGTATAGCGTTTATTTCAATATACCAATCGCGTTATTTGGATAAACACATTTTCGGCGAAAACTTTATATGCGCACAACGACGGCAAATAATTAAATTTCAGCTGATTGGCAAATATAGACGCACAAACTTGACCCAGAATATTATGTTATAGTAAACTTTAGACTTTCAGCTTGAGCGGATAGGTAAACCTATCTAAATCAATCGTCTCACGTTTCGAGCACCGTCCATACGAGCGGAACTAGTTTAAATTCGATTAGCAATTTATATGAATAAAAAAAAAAAAAGAATAGACGAAAACGAACGCGGTAAATATAAAATCGATAAAATCGATTAGTTCGGATAGACCGGGTTTTCTCTCTTTTCGCGAAATTCCGGAAACGTAATGAGAAAAAAAACGCTGTTTTCGCACGGGGGTGTAATGGAAAATATTTCGAAATCAGAAATGTACGTAATTACGTTTTAAATTTTTTATTCTATGTGTTAAAATGTCTAAAAGTCCTCCGCGATTCTTATCCTATTACACTGCCCGTTATATATATATATACACACACACACATCTATAAACCATTTTTTATCCTTTCACATCCCGATATAGATATAGCGGCCCGTACAAAAAGGAAATACTGTTGTTTGTTTCCGGTGTTTATTAAATCCAAATAAATAACCCTATTGCGTCTAATGTTTACTTTGTGATATATTTATGCAATACAGCAATGGCGTATTTAGGATTTTGCCAGGGAAGGGGATATTAAATTTTGAAACATTCCGTTACACAGATTCAGATTGTAAAATAAAATATCCAATTTTAAATGTATTTATATTTTATAGGTATTTTACAGGTACGAGTATAACTCAATCTGTCCTAACATTAACATTGAAATATTATACAGTGATAATTGTTATCGCTATTAATTTAGTGGTACTATTCCAAGAATAATCCGAAGAAAAACCTTTTTTTATATTAAAGAGATTCGGATTGGTTACGTTTCCAATAATTAAATTTACCTAAAGTTAGAGTATTTTTTTATTATTATTATTATTGTTATTATTAACTAGGTATACGGAGTATTACTTTAAATACACATGTGTGTTAAGATTTTTGATTCCCGTCAACCCGTTAACGAGATATTCCATTTTGAAGTTTAGGTGTAGGGGGGTAGCGGAGTATCATTTTGTGTGGAGTCGGGTTATGAGTATCATTTGTTTTCACGACGTGCCGCGTTTCGTTAGTGCTCCTCTACTCACCCCCCCCCCCGGACCTTAAAAGTGAAATATCTCGTCATCGGGTTAACGGAAATCAAAAATGTCGACACCGAAATGTATTTGAAGTAATACTCCGTCGATTTATGGAACTTTTAATGTAGGTTCCAATTTGAAAAAGTAGTATTAGTAAGTATTAGTAAGAAGTGTTCGAGAATATCCGCTATAGCTACACTTGAAAAGTCCGAAAATCGGAATTTGAATCCATGCAAAATTTAACCGTGCGCGCTTAGTGAATCCGTCCTATATGTGTGTATATATATATATATGTACGTATAATACATCTGTGGTCTGTATTTTTTAATTATATGCATGCAAATCACACAAAATTAATACGGATGGACTTCTTTTAGTGCCACCGTACGGTTGGGCGTGAAATTTCCTTTTAGAACAACGATATTGTACTTTGTTTTAATAATATTTGTTAAAATTTAAAATTAAACAAAACAATATTCCCGATTCATCGTATGGAAA